CTCATGGCAAGAATCTAAATTTCTGTTTTCTCTCCTCATTTCTCTTCTTTCATAATCTTAAATCACTTATTTTAATATATATATATATATTAAGACAGTAACTAATAATCGCATTATCAAGAATGTTGGACTGCATTGAATTTTATCTCAAGTGGCTGAACGTTTGCAAAACAAAAGCAAAATTTCAAGAAGGAAAAGAAGGGAACAAACAAGATGACGAACTTGTTCTACAAAGTTTTAAAGAAATGCAACATATATTTCAGCCGCTAGCTGCAGGTCAGCAGTTCAGCTAATGCTAAGAAGCTGCTTTGCAGTCCAAGTCTTTTGTGGATCTAGCTGCACAGTTCCAATCTGAGTGGCCACGTGAAAAAATTATAAATAATATATTGGAGGATCAGTAGATAATAATTATAAACAAGTAGTTTGCTGACTGAGCCATCACTAGAAAGCTCAGAAGGTGCTAACTAGAAAAAACACCTAGTTTTCATCAATTCTCATCAGTTTTCTTTTCTATAATAAAGTGACTATCTCGAATCAAGAGTACAATACCTTTGCATTTTCAACACAAACAAAATCTCTGTAAGATGCTTCCATCTGCAGATGTGGGTTCCATAGAACAGCATCTGACCAACTGCACAAAAAGAAGGGATGTGACAAACAGGTGTGTGAAGAAATTGACTAAAGCCAAATAAAAAGGGAAGATGAGACTCCAAACTACGTACTTAGTATTTGTGATAGATATGACATCACCCAAGCCATTATCAAGGTGCAATTCATCAGGAGTATCCAGATAAATGCATTCTACAAAACCAGGAAAGGTGACAACATCCCTGAGCAGTTAATAGAATAGTTAGTAAGCGGCATAAAATCTTCAAAAAAAAGAAAAAAGTCTAAAATTCTTCATTTAATGATGTAGATGGAAATGCACCGCAGTATTAGATGTCTATTCTTTAGGTGGAAAAGAAAATGAAAAAGCACATTTGATACGAATTGATGTAAAGTAATATATAACTTATAACAAAAATGGTCCCATGGAATATATTTAGATAACCTTGCTCACCTTACACCTATATCTTAAAACCTTATTTTTTGTTTTGAAGATAAGCCTTTCAAAATTCTTTTGAACTTGAGTTACTGACCTTTCCTCCACACCCTCTATAGGATTCTTGGGATCAGGATCTTTATTCAGAGTTTTGCAACCTTTCAAACCTCTCACAGATGCCCCTGTTACAGATGCCTGCATGATAATTTTAGATGAGCATTACCAGCATAGTTTTCTCCTAGGCTTTTCACTTGCTGCTGATGGCATTTTCCTATCAACTCCTAATGTCTATATTTCCTTGAGAAACTAATTCCAAAGTCACATGTAGTACTGGACTAAAAGAAATCTTCATATCCATAATTCCATAGGCAAGTCCATAAAATCAAATTGTACTTAGCTTGGTGAATTCTATTGTAATTGCATCTCCCAAATATGGAATTAAGGTGCTTACATGAAAATATGTATGTAAGGCAGCATTGAATGAAAATGGTTTGTTGTCTGTATTTGTAATACTTAGTTCTGTTGAAATGCTTTTCCCATTTAGAAGAACCTGAAACAACAGAACAAACACATTGAATTTGATCTGTAAACATGTAGATTACAAATTTCACAGGTAATAAACATATCTAAATGATCAGACTAGTGCAGCAAGCTGACACTTTTGCAAGCAACATAGACAAGTAAAAAAGTATGGATTTCACTAAACTGATAATTTTGCTATTGGTTGAGTAATTAACTACGCACCTTATAAGTAGCCTGGAAGCTGAAATCCCACATGGATCGACTGTAAGGACCATCTTTTAGTTCAAGAGTCACAACAGGGTTGCCTTCAACATTTTCAGAATCAATGAGTGACCAATCCATATTCCTTGCAAAGCCATGCTGTAGATTACACAGATGACACCAAAATTCAAGGAAAACTAAAAGAAAAGTGAGAGACAAACAAAAAACACGTGAAAGGAAATAGTTCTACTGCTTCTCCCACTGTTCCTTTTTTTTTTTTTTTTTGGTCAATTAGGAAGTATTTTCAGTTGGAAACAAGATATTAGTAGTTTAGCATGTGCTGTTTGCAACTTATTAACGGGAATCACGTAAATAATCGCTGCTTGGCAGATATGGCCTAACTACACACCCTAGCATGCATCTTGAATCTAATATGGCTCCATTGTTATATCAGACTTATCAGTATCAGTTGTTGTCCTCATTAAGCTTTGGCTAAGAGAAACCTCTGGTGGCCAAAAACAGTGGAAGCCATTATAAAATGTGGGGAGATTAATGATGGACACTGACTAATTGATGTAAATGAAAGTAACTAGTGGAAAATGGATCAATGATAGAGGGTCATACCTGCTGTATTGGGCCAGGTCCAAACTGAGGGAAACATTGGGGAATGCCTCCACTATTCAAATAGAGATACAGTCAGTATCTCGCAGACTCTCTAGTGATAATATGATAGAAAAAGACATCCTTTCTACAAATGAATGAGAAGAACAATATAGGTAGGGCAGCCAAACAGGCAAGCAAAGTTGACCACCCATCACTTATCCCAGCTTGGTTAAGTTTTTCTCACACTTGGTCTAAACTAATTCAAATAAAGCTGAGATCAACTTGGAATCCATACTGGACATAAACATTCACCATCTCATTATATCATTCTCTCTACACAAACACACACAACCCCTTAATAATACAGGACCAAACAGTTCCCATGGAAAGAAGTAACAATTAGCCAGCTAAAAATGGCATCATACTCTATTTTATTAATTTGAATTTTAATAAGCCTTAATCTGAAACTATCCTTTTCTTCAATTCAATGTGGTCCAATGTCATGCCAGATAAGGCACATGACACATATCAATGTCTTCTCACTGTCTATAAAACCTCACTATTGAAACCACCAATCACTAAAACCAAACTACAAAAGCAACCAAGCAGGAGGCAAATAAACTGCACATTCAGGTGGTTCCAAAATTACCTGATTGGCTTCTTTTTGTTAAATACAGCATCTGGTCGAACAAAAAGCAGGTCTCTTCCACTTGGAATTTTCCAAGATGTAACGCAACCTCCAAACAAATATATCTGAGCTTCACTACATCATAAAAACATGATAATACATTTCAATCAAAACATATTCACCATTGAAAAGTACCAATTACAGTCTGATTCATCCGGCAGAGATATTAATCTGAAAATAATAATAATAATAATAAGCATAATTAAAAGAGCATCATCTATTAAACATTACCTTCCCTGAGCTGAAGTGAGCACAACCTTCGGCAGATTACCTTCCCCTTCCGTAAGTCTCACGCCTACAGAAGTAGTTTCTTTGTTTACGCTTGCGAATGCCACACCTGAGAACCTGCAACCAAATGGAAATTGCTTGCAAATTGAACAAAATCAAAATGAGGATACGAGAAACCGGAGAAAATTAGTCACCGCTTGCTCCGTCGACGATTAAGAGAGTTTAATGCCGGAGAAGATAGTGCCACGCTAACCGTTGCCATCTTGTCTTCACCAAATTGGTGATGAAATTTGCGGTCATCTCCTCTCCTCACCTCACAGACGGTTTTTGTCGTCATGGCATTTTGCGCGTAAATATTCGCATATTCGACTCTGCTAACTAGTTCGTTACAGCCCAAACCCATTACCAGTGTTTCGACTTTCTAATATACCTCGGGCTTTCATCTTGGGCTTTTTAACCCTGACTCATATGTAACTAACTTCATTTACCACTACTTTCTTAATTTTAAATAAAGAAGGATCGTTAATATATCCTTCAATTCAATATATTTTTATCAATGATTTATTGATCCGAATAAAAAGAGTTTGATTCTCCAAATTCAAGACTTGTGAATGAAAAAATAAGTGCTGGGAGATCTTCTCTCTTAATGGAGTCCGATATGATTCGATTTCAAATTAATCAAAATTCAACGTGATTATCGGATATTAAAATATTAATACAAAAAAAATCAATATATTTTATAATACTCATCAATTTAGTTATTAAATTTTATAACTTTAAGTTTTTTGTCTTTAATTCAAATTT